TACAGCCACCCCGGAAAACAGTGTGGAGGTTCCTCAAAAAATTAAAAATAGATCTACCCTATGACCCAGTAATAGCCCTGCTAGGAAGTTACCCAAGGGATACAGGAGTGCTGATGCATAGGGGCACTTGTACCCCAATGTTTATAGCAGCACTTTCGACAATAGCCAAATTACGGAAAGAGCCTAAATGTCCGTCCACTGATGAATGGATAAAGATGTGGTTTATACATACAATGGGATACTACTTGGCAAGGAGAAAGAATTAAATATGGCCCTCTGTAGCAACGTGGATGGAACTGGAGACTGTTATGCTAAGTGAAATAAGTCATACAGAGAAAGACAGATACCATATGTTTTCACTCTTATGTGGATCCTGAGAAACTTGACAGAAGACCATGGGGGAGGGGGAGGGGAAAAAAAGTTAGGGAGGGAGGCAAACCGTAAGAGACTCAAAGACTGAAAATAAACTGAGGGTTGATGGGGGGTGGGAGGGAGGGTTGATGGGGGGATGGGCATTGAGGAGGGCACCTGTTGGGATGAGCACTGGGTGTTGTATGGAAACCAATCTGGCAATAAATTTCATATTAAAAAAAAAAAAAGCATATGCATTCCCTACTCTTACCAAGTGGAGTAATAACTTCTTCTGAATCCGCAGTATGATCACCGCATCTAAGAGTTAATAGCAAAACTCATGTACCCCAGCATCTCTATAATTATCATTAGAAAAAAGAAAATTGTAAAAGGGTAACCTGGGAAGGTTGGGCATTTTTAAGTTTTATTACTATATACCAAAATTCACAATAGGCTTCTATTTCACCCCCAAATTTTAAGAACAATGCTATGTTCATTATAATAGTAACTATTAATATGCTTTATGCAAGTGAAATAATACCAATTCAGAGCTCATTATCATTACGAATAGTCAATTATAAAAGAAATGAGAAATTTATAATCTGACACTGTTTTATTAGGGGTCCATATTAACATTACAAGTTAATAGAATTAAGAGTAACCACAGCAACCACTAAGTACAACTGGAATTTCTAAAAGGTCACAGAAAAATAAACAAGATTTTTAAGAAGACTAGAGTCTAAAGAAACAAACAAAAAAAAAAACTATTAAATATCCTGTTATCTACCCATTCTTAAGCCATTAGAGAGTGTGAAAATCTATACATAAATATGGACTCCTTAAATTTTACTCTCATCTATCTCTTCATACCTTCTGAACCTATTTTTTTTCTTTGAACAACAACACACAAATTTCAGTGTCCTATCACATGTTTTTAGATTTGTCACAGTTTTATTAATAAGTAGTATATAAAATTAATTAAATGAAAAACTTTACAGACATGTATAAATCTTACTAATAAATTAAAGGTCAGAGGAACAAAAATCTACACTGTCTTGGGCCTAGAAGTAGTCACAGAAGTCACTAGAAGAGTATCTAGACAGAAGGAGGAAAGGCAGTTACCAGAAGTCCAAGTAGCAAGGTGAGAATCCAGGTGGGCAAGAAAAACATCAAAGCACAGGTAAATAAACAGAAGTAGCAGATAAGGATCTGGTATGAAGAGACAGGAAAATCAGTGTAAGAAACCTGAACACCATAAGGTGAATCAGATACAGAAGTGGAAGACACAGATTATAGACGTTGTGGGTTACCTAAGCTTTAGCCTCTTAAATTCATAAAATAAAGAATGAGGTAGTAATTGAGACAAGTTTCTGGAATATATGCTTTGATAATCATATTATAACATGACAGAGATTAATAATCTTGCTAAAAATGCTACTTGAACACAAAGGATGGAAAAAAGATATTAATGCTATGCTTATATTTAGTGAGTCACTTAATATCCTCTGTACTACTTAAAACTTTGCCTAATCTGGTTTTATCTCATCTTTATACTGCAAAAAAGCAGAGAAGACAAATTTTTAAAAGATAGGATTTACAGCATTATTAAACTCAAAGGATCCTAGCCACCTCAGAGAATTATTATTCTCCGTTATTTCATCGCATATGCTTATAAAACCTGCTAATCACAGACACCGGAACTCTAGGGGCAGCATCCCACCCTCCTCAAAATCTTAGGTATCACATTCAAGATTGTTTGAGCTGCACGCCCTGCT